ACTGACACATCTGATATTCCTTATGCCCTTTTTTTTCACTCATGAGATATCCATGCATGTGCACATGTGACTGAGAGAAAGAGAGTGAGAAGGGGTGAGCACCACGGGGCTGGTGACAGCACCATCCCTTCATCCCATCGTCCGGCTCCTTGGGTCTCGAGCACCGATGTCCTCGCCGATGTGTTCCAGGCTAACCAGGACAGAATTTCAAACCAACGTCACCATGTTGGATCTGACTCCTCAATCTTTTTTCTTTTCTTTCTGGAGGGCACATGTGTTCAGAGAGAGAGCAAACGGGAGAGGAGAAAGCATCCCCCATAGTTAATGGTCACACCGTAATCCCTTTTCCTCCATCTGCCCCTCCTTTCGGTTTTCAGGCAGGCATGCACATGTGCCCAGCGTGTTTCTCAAGCTGCTGAGACTCAAACCACATGGCTAGTCAGGGGGATCTGGATATCTTAAATACAACGCAGAGCTGGTCCAAGCTCTTTCCAAAAAAAAGCCCCCATTGTCTCCTATCACCCCGATCTTTCCCATTTGTGCTTATGTAATGTTGCCTGTTCTTATGGTACAGACATCAGATCCAAGAGATGTCATCTCCAGGAAGCAGACAACAGGCCAACAACATTCATTCCTCCCCAAAGATGAGACTCTTTCTGCTGTTGTGCTGCTAACACCCCTCGGGCTACCCTTACATACAAATCTGGTTGCAAACTCTTGAATTTGTCGTCTCAGCTGACTGCTCGCCGATGTGTTCCAGGCTAACCAGGACAGAATTTCAAACCAACGTCACCATGTTGGATCTGACTCCTCAATCTTTTTTCTTTTCTTTCTGGAGGGCACATGTGTTCAGAGAGAGAGCAAACGGGAGAGGAGAAAGCATCCCCCATAGTTAATGGTCACACCGTAATCCCTTTTCCTCCATCTGCCCCTCCTTTCGGTTTTCAGGCAGGCATGCACATGTGCCCAGCGTGTTTCTCAAGCTGCTGAGACTCAAACCACATGGCTAGTCAGGGGGATCTGGATATCTTAAATACAACGCAGAGCTGGTCCAAGCTCTTTCCAAAAAAAAGCCCCCATTGTCTCCTATCACCCCGATCTTTCCCATTTGTGCTTATGTAATGTTGCCTGTTCTTATGGTACAGACATCAGATCCAAGAGATGTCATCTCCAGGAAGCAGACAACAGGCCAACAACATTCATTCCTCCCCAAAGATGAGACTCTTTCTGCTGTTGTGCTGCTAACACCCCTCGGGCTACCCTTACATACAAATCTGGTTGCAAACTCTTGAATTTGTCGTCTCAGCTGACTGCTTCCCAGCAACCTGGGCCAAAGCTCCAGGAGTGAATACTAGCAGCTCCAATGAGCATTTCCTCCGAGCAGCTCTAAACTCCCTGGACACGTGTGTCACTTACCTGGCATGATGCCCTGAGACCTCTTTACTGTCATACTGAGCAGTATCTCAGTCACACTAAGACAGTAGGACACCTATGAAAGGACCAGGGTCGAGCTCATTTTGTGTTTCTCAGCCATCGTCCCTAACTGGAGTCAGAGCTCTGCACTATTCCAGGGACTGCCAGGAATGAGCCCAGTGGGGCCCCTGCCCTCTCGGGCTCCTGGCTAGAGGGGACACTGGTGACGACTATCCTGGCACCCAGGGGTGCACAGGCACTAGGAGCACCAAGGAGGTGTGACAGCTCCACACAGGCCTGCATTTAAGAGGAGGCCAGCCCAGGTGGAAGGACTAAAGCTAGAAAAGGCAAGGTGGAAAGTGGAAAAGGCCACGATGTGTTATCGGGTGCATCTGGAGCCTGAGGTATGCAGGTGAAGGAGGCAGAGAGCAGAGCCCAAGCAATAGAAAAGGACTCTGGGAAAAAACGCCAGGGTCAGCCCTGTTGCCCAGGTAAGGAGTTAGGACTTTTTCTTTCCTCTTCTACACAGGACCTCTTGTCAGTGCCACACACATTGCTAGGTGTGCGGCGTTGATCCAAACAGATCTCATTCCTACCCACATGATGCATACAGCGTAGTGGAAAAAGCAGACCTTACCAAATATCACACAGGATCCAGTTCACACTTGAGACATCACTCTGGCCAGAAGAACTGGAGTAGACTGGAGGAAAGAAACAGGGAGGGACATAGAGTTAAACCTCCCTCCACCCTGGTAGTCTACCCGTGCCCAGGTGGTGGCCTGCAGAGCAAGATGTGAGCATGAGAGACCTTCACAGGTCAAACCAAAGGACTTGGGGGATCAGACAGGTCACTGTGCATAGCTACGGATAATGATAATGAAAGAAAACAGGGGGTGAAGTCCCGATAGCATCATAATTGAGAATTTAAGCCATTTGGAATTTGAGGTGCAGGGGACCATCCGAGTGGAGATCGAGACATACAGGTTTGGATTGGAGCTGTTAGGGTTGGAGTTTAGAGGTCAGGTGGTCTGAGCTGATGATATTTATCAAGTGTCATCAGCGTACAAGTGACACTGTGCTGTGGATGAGATCACCTGGAGGCAGAACTTATTGTCCTGCCGGAGTCCCAAGGGCGAGAAACAAAACTTACCAGCCAGAAGAATGCAATTCCAGCCAGGCTTCTGTTGGTTATCCCTACTTGGTCTCTCAGTTATTCAACAAGGAAGATATAAATCCATGCCACAGTAATAAATATCATGAAAAGTTCTTTTTCCCAAGGAACTAGTATGTTTTTTTCTTCTCATAAACAAAGTGAAATTTGCATTATTTTCCTTCTTTCTTGGGCAGCCAGCAAGTTCAAAGTTGATTTTGTAACTTAATTTTAGAAAATATAAAATCTAGGGTTGGCAGGTGGTTTGGTGGTTAAGGGTACTGGACTCCCACATGGCCAACCATGGTTCAAGTCCCTGAACCTAGCAGCTTGCTTTCTCACTTTCCCTCTTTCTCTCTCTCTCTCTCTCGCTTGCTCTGTCTCTCTCTGGTCAGTTTAAAATAAATAAAAGTTAAATAAAATAATTCTTAAAAAAAGAAAATATAAAATCTATGTATCCAGGTACTGTTTTCCCAAATCAATGCATTTTATGTATTTATGAATTTTCCAGCCCTGATTTTTGTTGTTGTTTTAGGTGCTCATGTAAGCTACCTCAGGTCCTTTGTAAAAATTAGGTAGGACGTCACTGTATAAAAATAAATATTCCTTCTACTCTAGTATTTTGGGGTCATCCTTGGAGCCCTTGTACAATGGCTGCCCTATAGCCTAGCTAGTATTAGCTAGATTTAACCAGAAAGAAATCTTGAAACTTACTAGATAGTAAATTTAAGACTAATGTAACTCATTGAAACAGAATAAAAGTAAAGCTTCAAATATTTCTGTCTTTGCCACCAACTCTGAAGGGGGATGGTTATGCTTAATTCGACTCAAGATGTAAAAGTTTGATCTTTCAGAATTGAGAATACACTGCTGAAATTAAAGACCTGTCTATGTAGGTGAGCACTCCAAATGCATCTAAAGAAAAATTGAGCTGTTAACTATCAATATAGAAAGATGAGATTTGGTTTTTTTTTTTTTTTTTTTGGTTGGTTGGTTGGTTGTTTTTTTGTTTTGTTTTGTTTTGTTTTTTGAGGGGGAGAGGTTTTTGCTATAGGGCACGTACGTTCTCCAGAGAGACAGAGAAATAGAAAGCGAGAAACTACCCCCCAGGGGAGATGGCCATGCCGCAATCTCTTCTCTATTCTCCTCTCGGGATCTTGGGCACACATGCACATGCGTCCGGCATAAGTTTAAGCCACCAGGTCTGGGACTCAAACTGTGGTCTACTACATGGGAGTCCAGCAACATAGCCATTACACCAACTGCTGGTTCCAAGATTTATTTTTAAGCTTGGCGTTTTCTTGACTTAAAAAATGTATTCTGGTAAAAGCAAACTTCTTTTTTTTTTGGAGAGGTTTTTCGCTTATAGGGTACGTGCGCTCGCCAGACAGAGAGAGACATACAGACAGAAAGCAAGAAATCACCCCCCAGGGGGGATAGTCACGCCACAATCCCTTCTCCTCGATTCTCCTCTCAGGATCTTGGGCACGCACGCACACGCGCCTGGCGTGAGTTTTAAGCCACCGGGTCCGGACGCGAACCGCGGTCGACTACGTGGGAGTCCAGCAACATAGCCATTACGCTAACTGCTGGTTCCCAAAGCAAACTTCTTATCAAACAGCATAAGCACAAAATTAACTGGCTGATAAATTTTATTTTTTATCATAGCTACTTTTTAGGTTCTTGCCAGAGGGTGCATGTGATCACCAGAGAGAGATATAATAGGGAAAGTGAGAATGGCCACATTACAGTCCCTTCTCTTCCATTCTCCTCCTGAGATTTTGGGCATGCACGCACACGTGCCCAGCATGATTTTCAAGCTGCCAGGTCTGGGACTCAAACCATGCTCAGCCATGTGGGAGTCCAATGCCTTAACCACCATACCACCTGCTGGCCCCATCATCGTTGCTTTTTAATATAAATAATTAATTAGAATTTTATCGTGCCATTGGATTATATCACCGTATAAATGGTTTTCAAATTGTTCCATGACTGGTATCCTAGGGACTATAAAGGTGTCTGAAATGGGGCAGGGATCGGGAGCCTCCAAGCAAGAACCAGCCACCAGGCCCTGCCCCAGCTCCTCCAGAGCAGCTCAGCTCTGCTTTATGCAGCAGGGTCCTCCCTCATAGGGTTGTAACTGAATAAGGAGTTCCACTCCTAGAAGTGAAAGGTGGAGTTTGGAAAGCATCCCACGGGGGCACATCTCCTGCTTACTTGGTTTAGGGGTGACTGTCACTAACATGGAAAGGTTCGGGGGTGGGGGGTTAAAATCTACGCTTTGGTTCCCGCTCTGACTGCGGGTGATGACTTCGAGGGCTGTGAGGCCTATGTGGCTGACGTGTGTTAGCAGATGTGGAGGCTCTGCCTAAAGAAGGTGAAGAACCACCGGCCCCACTTCATGCCCCTGACCCTCCTCTCCTTGTCCTCTCTGCAGGAGGAGCCGATCACCTTCTGTGAGGAGGCCTTCGTGTCCCACTATCGCTCTGGAGCCATGAGGCAGTTCCTGCAGAACGCCACACAGCTGCAGCTCTTCAAACAGGTGCCCACCCTGCCTCTTGGCCTGTGTCTGGATCCCCAGCATGGTTGCTGTCCTGTAACTACAGGCATGCGGGGGCCTTGTGCCTCAGGCTAAAGAGGCTCGGGGACGGGGCTGGGTGGAGAGGGCGGTCAGTGACCAGACAGACCCTTTGCAAATGTGCCACCAGCTTTTCCAAGTTATCACGAGCATGCTGCCAGGTTTTAAACACTTGCTTGTTGAATCGCACTTTTTGAAAACTCGCAGTTTCAAAGGACCTCGCCCATCCTGGCAACATGGCTGTTCTCTGGTCATATACTAAGGTGCCCCGCTGGATGGCTTTTCTCCCTGTTTCTTTGTACTAGCCGTGTGCTCTTGTGCTTTCTTCCTATAGTTTATTGATGGTCGATTAGACCTGCTCAACTCCGGCGAAGGTTTCAGTGATATCTTTGAAGAGGAGATCAACATGGGCGAGTATGCTGGTGAGAAACGTCTGGTCTCCCTCCCGGGCCGTGGGCTGCTCCAGCTTAGGGAGCACGTGGCGAGGTGTGGCAGTGACTTCTGTCTTCCTTTATTGGAGATTAGGGAGAGACTGAGTTCAACCGTGGCCAGAAATGTTTGGGAATTCATTCTCGTTTTCTGACAAGATTTGTGTCAATCTGTATGAAATCCTCTGTCCTGGGGTCAGTGGCTCCCTCTGGGTAGACGAAGTCTAGTTAAATGTAGTAACCAGTATGATGGGGTCAGAAGCACAGCAGGTGGCAAATGAGGGGCCTGGACTCAGACCGGGACTCTGCCTCCTATTAGCTATGAGGCCTTGGCCAGGTCATTTCAGTCCTTTTGCTGATGCTTTCCTAAGTGCACTGCGGGGAATGCTGCCTGCCCCACGGGATTCCTGTTGGGACTAAGTCAGAGTCTGTGAGAGAAGGTTTGTGTGAGCACCCAGGACAGCACCTGGCACAGGGTCAGTGCACAGTAGACCAGCAGATGTGGAACTCTGCTCAGTGCCCAGTCTCTGCAGGCCTGTAGAAACGGGGGGATTATCCTCCCATTTTTTTTCAGAGGAGGCACCTGAAGCTCCAGAAGGTGTTAGTGACAGATCCCACCTCCTGAATTCTAGTCTGGCCCTCTTTCCAAATCCGAAAGCCCCAAGTCTTTGGTGGCAAAGTCAAAACTAAAGTACTGCTCATCGTCTGCTGGAGCTGGCGTGTGTCTGGGCTGGACTGGACTAGTCTAGTAATCCAACTGGCAGTTCAAAAGCTCAGAGCACCAGACACGGTATCCATACACCCATGGCTGTTACAGGCTCTGCCAGCCCACGCTGCATGGAGAGCACAATTAGTAAACCCAGTATGGAATCTGCAGAGAGAGTGGGTCACTGCATGTCCTGAACTCCTGCTGTGTGTTCAGAGCCCAAAGGGTTAAAAATAGAGAACCCCTAGGGTCAGCAGATGGTGTAGTGGTTATATCGCTAGACTCCCACATGTCCAATCACAGTTCAAGTTCTGGACCTGGTGGCTTGAAACTCACACCAGAAACATGTGTATGCGTGCCTAAGATCCCAGGAGGAGAATGGAAAAAGAACTGCAGTGTGGCCATCCCTCCTAGGGGGTGATTTTTCACTTTCCCTCTTATTCTCTCTGTCTCCCCCCCCATAGATAGATAGATAGATAGATAGATAGATAGATAGATAGATAGATAGATAGATAGATGGTGAGTGTGAGTGCACACACCCTAAGGCAAAACCTCTAAAAAAAAAGAAAAGACCCAATTCTGCCCTCAAGGGGCCTTCAGCCAGGCAAGAGAGATTGTTGCACAGTTAAAGGTGAAAATTAAGCCAGTGCTGAGGAAGAAGTAAGAACAGGTTTTTTGCGCAGTTGAAAGAGGGTTCCATTAATTGCCACCGCATGATATAAGAGCTTCACAAGAGGTGAGGACTGAGGAGTGCTCTTCTAGTCGGGTGCGAGTTCCCAGGAGGAGATACACTTTATGTGCTGCTATACTAGGTTTGGTCATTTAGAACTTCTCGAAAATATGACCTCCTCACCCCAGCAGATAAGATGAGCAGAGTTGGCCAGCACTGCCTCCGTTTTTCTTCCCTCTCGATATTCAGGTGTTTGGAGGATGAGTGTGAGTCCAGCAGGGTCCTGGACACCAGGACACACAGCCTTGGCAGTTCCTGCTATGGCATGGCTCACAGTACTTGGGAGAATATGGGCTTCTAAGTGGGTATTATGTACTCTAGAAGGCTGTTCAGGGGAAGGGAGGGGTAAGGAGAAGCTTGCAGAGGAAGGGACATCTGAGCTACCAAGTAGAGGGCCAGGGGACAGCATTTGCAAGGACCTGGGATTAGGGAGCCCTAGGTAGGTCCTCCTGGTTGGAGCCAAAGGAGATGCAGAGTAGTAGCACAGGACAGCGAGGCAGAGGGCAGGGAGCCAAGAGCTGAGACTGGACAGCAGAGGTGGGGTGGCCAAGGAATCTGACCTCTGTCCAGCAGGCGATGGGAGGCTTTGGAAGGCTGGCAGCCAGGGCTCTGATCCTATCAGTCTCTGTCTGAGAGAAAACCTGTGGCTGCTGCCTCCTTCAGGGAGTGGGCTGAGGGAGCCTCTGTGCAGTCCTCCAGACCTTGGACTTTTGGAGTCCTACATGAAGAAAGCAATTTGAAGAACCCCTGCGGGCAAGTAACTTCTTTACATGATAGCTCCTCTGACTCCTCTTTCCCCAGGCAGTGATAAACTCTACCATCAGTGGCTCTCCACAGTCCGGGTAAGTACACCCCCTCAGCTACCTGTACCTCTCCTTAGCTTCTGGTAGCCCTACACCTCCCCACCCACCCTGCCCAAGGCTGCCAAGAGGCTCAGAGCGTTCCATCCTCTCTGCTGTTGATGCTTTTGTTTTTAAAGCCAGGCCATCCTCATGCCAGATAGAGACTAGAAGGTTGGGACCATCCAAAGCTGTCCCTTAGTGAGGGCGAAGAGGCAGGAGAGGCTTCCTCCTCTTCAGGAAGCCTTCCAGGTGTGGAGAAGGGAACATCGTCATCTTAGAGCATCTCTGGAGTCTCCTTCTAGGACAAGTATAATTGCCATGATCACGGGAAAGCCAAAAATGTGTCTTTTCTGTTCTGCAATGATCTTCATAGCAAAGACTCCTGGGAAGATAGGGAACATATCACTATTTTTTTCACCCTCTCATTGTTGTCAACAACTACTTGTGTCGTGAACCAGGTGCTTAAGCTTCCAAAGCCTCTGAAGAATTCAAACTCTTGCCTTTCCATCCATTTACCAGTGGTTGTGTGCTGAGGGCCTACTGTGTGCCAGGCATCATAGGGGGTCAGGACACAGGCTCTGCCCTGGGGGAGACCCCCATCTCACTGGGGAGCCCAGCAGGAAAATAGGCAGCTCCAGCTTAATATATGTTCCCTTCTGCCCTGGGGCCCAGCCTGCGCTGCCAAGGCAGGCCCTTGGAAGTGGCTGCAGTTGATGGAGAGCAAGCAGTGCCTTAGTGAAAGACTTCCTTTGTTCTCCTATGGCAAACACAGCGCTTGGCAAATCAGAGCCACACAGTGAGGACTTGTTGATTGATTGATAAAGGACTTTCAATACTCCAAAGGACCATTTCAATAGGAGACTGAGTAATTTTGGAAAGCAGTATGGAATAAATGAGTGGGTGAAAATTTCCTATTGTCCAACAACATAGAATGTTTTCTATGTCAAATTATGTTTTTAATTAAAGCTCAAAATTTCTAATGTGGGTGGTTACCAAAAATTGTGCTAAAAGCTAAGGCCAATAATTACATTGCTTCATCTTATTCTCTTATATACCCACTGGCTCCAGTCCTTCTCCATTTGAATCCACTGGAATTATCTTTCCAGCCTCCCACAGATCTGATTTTGTGATGCATTCCATTAAAAACTTGAGAGTACAGACCCACCCTGCTGGGTCTTCATGAGCTGACCCATCCAGCCTACCATCCCCACTGCCCGCTCCTCCCATGACACACCACACGGGTACAGTAACTGCTTTCTCACAGAACACACCATGGTCCTTCAGCTGCCACACTTCCCATGTTCCACAAGGGTTCTTCAGAAAGTTCATGGAAAGTGTGCATTATGAAAAAATGCATGGATTTCCTTTTTGGGGGGTACCAAAATAAACTCATGTTTTCATTCCATTTCTCCATGAACTCTGAAGTCCCTAGTATTTCTGTGTATGGAATGTTCTTCTCTTGTCCCTTATATCAACTCCTTCTCATCCGTCATGGAGCAAGTCAAGTGTTTCATCCTCTGAAGCCTTCCTTGACCTGCAATGTCCCAGGTTCCTGTGCACACAGCCATCACAACCCTAATCACCTGACACAACAGTTATTTACCCTGAGGGTCCTCAACCCCCACCCCCACCTGAGATCTTTGAGGTAGTTACCCACAGGGAAGAGGCTGAGAATGGATTTCTGAACCACCGTGGAGGCTCAGCCTGCATGCATGCACCCTGCCCCTTGCCCCTGCCACCTTCCCCTCTAGGTAGTGGGAATGCCGTCTTGCTTCATCTTCCCTGCTCCCTACAGGAAATGGGAGATAAATGGGTGTGTTGGATTTATACTAAAGCCATGGTTAACATTTATGGCTACGCATTCTTTCCCATTCTCAAGATGTTCAGGAAGGCAGCCTACCAAAGAGACTTTTTAAAAAATAGTACACAGGCCAGCAGATGGTGTGGTGGTTAAGGCCAACTCCATGGTTCAAGTCCCAGACCTAGCAGTTTGAAAAACATGTCAGGCACATGTGCATCGTGCCTGAAATCCTGAGAAGAGAATGGAGACAGGATAGTGGTGTGGCCATCCCCCCGGGGGGGGATTTCTCTCTCTCCCTTGCATGTGCCCTATGGCCAAAAAAAAAAAAAAAAAAAAAAAAAAAAAAAAAAAAAAAAAAAAACCTAAAACAACAACACAGAAAACCAAGGAAGGGGCAAAAGGACGTTGCCAGGTGAGGTAGCGTATCTCCAAGTGTTTCCGACTAGTTAGGACCCCGTTTTTATTGCCCAGCTTAGGCTTAACTCCAAAGCCATGGTCATGAGCCTGACCTAAATGTCATTCACAGATACTAGAATTTCTTGAGAAGCCACAAATGACTGTGGGGAAAACCTGGCCCCAGAGAGTGTGTGATCACTTCCCATCCAGCCAGGGAACAGGTGGAGCCGAACACGGAGCCGAGAGGCCGTCCTCAGCTAGAGAGCGATTCCTCACCTGTCCACACACGCCCAGTACCCCCAGATCGCTCTGCCATGATCGTAACTGCAATGGCCCAAGACCACCTGGGCCTGTCTCTACTTAATTGCATCCCCTGACATGTAGCTCAACTCGCCTTATCTTTGTTGGTGCTGGCCTCCTCTGCCTTCAGCCCAAATTGCTAACCAACATTTTTATTATAGAAAGGAAGCGGAGCGATTCTGAATACTGTGAAAACCAAAGCAAACCCAGCCATGAAGACTGTCTACAAGTTTGTAAGTACCAGGCCTGGTCAGGATCCCAGCAGATGGGTTCTGTAGCATGACGAGACTCCTAAATGCACCCAGCCTTCTTCTGAAGTGAGACTCGGGGACTGCTAAGCTGTCTTCTAAAGGTCTCAGTGCTCCTAGGGTTACTATGTCGCTGCTTACAGTTGGCGCAATACAGAAGCAGGATACTGGCTTTAGTTTTTACGGTGTAGAGTGAGTAGTTAAGAATTCAGGCTGCTCCATACCTGGGTCCTGGAGACCTGGAGGCTGGTGCCTCAGATGTTCTGGCAGAGCTGTCCCATATGAGTCCCATTATCATGTCAGAATAAAGCAGCTTCTTTGCAGGTTACTGAAGAGTCCTCATGGTGGGACCCGCCCCTTAATTTTTGTCCCAAATTCATCATCTCTCTCATCACTGCCCTATAGGAAATGCTTTGTTTGTGAGACTTGTGCCCAGAGCAGAGTGAAAACAAGAACACGTCAGTTTGCGGTGTTTCATCTCTTACAAGCCTCAAGTATTTTTCATTGTGATTTCTCTTACTTGCTAATTTGCCCCTGAGCCACCGAAGTGGGGTGGTTTGGTTTTATTTCCATTTTTAATTTGGTTAGTCCTTGCCATTCTTATACTGCAGTTATTTTAACAGGGTGGGTGGCTGCCACCAGAATCACACAGGTCTAGAATGGCATAAAATAAAAACTGGCATGCCCCCCCACACACCCTGAAAGGGGATTTAGAAAGTGACACCATAGTCACATAGCGATGTGTCTATTCTAGACGTTCAGCCTGAGCAGAAAATTGGTCCTGAGGCCCTGCCCTGGTGAAATATAATGGATATTCCGAGTCTCACAGCCAGAAAAGCTGCCGCTCTCCTCTTCCTGGTAGCTGTCACCAGGCTGCCGAGATAAATAATTATAGAGAGCAGAAGAAGGGCTGTGGAGGGGGGAAAATCTGTGCCATCAAAATGCAGAAAAGAAAATCTCCGCAGCCTCTTTAAGGGATTTTTTTAACCTTTTACTGCTGTATTTGTTTTCATAGCCATTATGTTTTCGACTTGATGATCCCATTTTTCCTTCCTTTTTCTAGTAATCAGAGAAGGTGATTCGTGACGGACTGAAATCAAGCATAGTCCCTGCTGGAAACAGAAAGGGAATCTTAACTTAAATTAATTTTTCATGCAGGCAAAAGATCATGCAAAAATGGGAATAAAAGAGGTGAAAAACCGCTTGAAGCAAAAGGTACTTGAAGTTCTTATTCAAAATGTATAAGCACCGTGTATGAAATGCGTGGCCACAAAAAAGTATGATGTGATCAATAGAGGGCCGTTTGATACAGTGTTGTTAGCACACTTCAAAATGCATTACCAGCTGTCCGGGAGTTTTCACACTGTTATAAATATTCACAGACAAAAACTGTCTTCAAATAACATTAAGACTCTGGCATAAACCCACAAAGGCGAGCAAGTTCAGAGGTACCACTGTCGGTCTGTCCCTCTCCTGCCCCACTAAGCCTGGGGCGCACAGACACATGTACAGTTTGGCTCAGCCTCCCCATCCCAGCACCACCCCCCACACATAGCCAACCTCTGCTCCAGGGCTGGTCATAACCAAAACCTAAAAGCATCTGCAGGACTAGGACTGCTGTGGTTCCTGCATGTGCGTGGCTACCACGCAGACTTGGCACAAAGGGTGGGCTGGGGAGGAGGCTGCAGGCTCCCCTGCAGGTTCCCCTTGCTGCAGTGGATTAAATGGGAGGAGCTCAGCAGTTTGTTTGAAACCCCAGCCAGAAGGAGGAGGCTCTGATTGTCTTGTTGGGCTGTCAGTGAAATTGTCTGAAATCATCCTGGCTGCATCCTGGCCAGAGTTCCCCCAGCCTGCCTCTCCAGAAGCTGCACAGTAAGGTTTCTGGAACTGAGAAGGCACGTGTGTCTTACCGCAGACGTCCTCATGCTAGTTATCGTTGCACCCTTCTTTAAGCACTTGTTAAGCCTGGTCTAGGCAAGGCACTTTCGCATTTAATCCGAAGAACAACCCTGTGGGGTGTTTTTTCCCATTTCATGAGTAAAGAGACTACAGTTCAGAGGTGAAGTAATTTGCCCGAGGCCACACTCTCTGAGCCTAGCAGAGCCAGGATTAGATTCCAGATCCATCGCTTTGGCATCTGTGCTCTTACTGCAACGGTGTTCCACTGCCTTCCTAAAACAAGAAAACAAGTGTTTTGTTTTCCAAGAGATGTTCAGTATCACTTGCTCCATTATCCCCACGCCCCCAAATGGACCACTCTAATAACAGCCTTTGCCTATCTCGGCAGTTGTCAAAGAAGTGAAAGCAGTTTTAATTTTATGAAGTCAGAAAGGACCTCTAATTAACTTGAAATGGTCGAAGGGACTGATTCTTTCCTTTTAATTGGAAAATAATTTGCTCTGACTAAGCATTTAAAATCTTGGTTTCAGTTGAGAGTGAATTTAACATCCTGAAATGAAAACCAGACAGACCTTAACTATAGTCTTTTGCATCCTGCTAGAGACTGGCAGGTGGAATTCTTTTCTATGATGTTATTTGAGTCCCCAAATATATGATTTTATCTCCTGTCCCAGTTGCATGTAGCCGTATTGGATCGCAGATATTAAAGAGTGTCGGGGAGGAAGGGAATTTTGCTTCCTTGATGCCTAGATGGTAAGCTCCGGTTGGCATTAGAATATTTCCTGCTAAGCAAAGACTGGGCTCCCTCCTCAGACACAGGACAGATGCACCCTCATTGGTCAGATTTGCTCCCTGCAGACCAGGAAGTTAGAGGCATCACCATCCCTCCCTACTCATATGCACAATCATTGGCCTGAAGAAAATCTCTATATGATATGTAACGTTTCTGCAAATCACAGGTTAAGCTCAGGTTTTTTAATGTGGTTATTCAGAGGTTCATTTAAACAATCTTGATCACTCTCCCTCCATGCCATCTCCCTTTCCGTTCCTTGATAATATCTAAAGTGAATTTTCCCCTCCTCTTCTTTTCCCCCTGCCAGTCTTTTCAAGAATAGCTTCAGGAGATAATGTTCTATAGAGAGTGTCAGTACATTTCAGGTGACACAAATGGTGAAGGCATTTTATAGAAATGTGGCTTGTCACCATCGGACTGTTGACAGATCTATTAGTGCACCCTTTTCAATTTTCACTTTTCCCCCCTTCGGTCTTACAGATTTCCACAGTGCTATTTTGCAGTTGTTCTTGGAAGAGCTATTCTGTAACTGAAACTCTAGCATTGTTCAGTGTGTAGGACTTGGGTCTCCGGCGCCCTTCAGCTGTCTTTCTTGAGCTCATTTAGGATCTGGCTTCCCCTGGCCTCTCTCACTGCTGTAGACAATATTTCCCTGGCTTTATTGTTCTCCTCCCCTCTGCCCCCTCCCCTTTTCCTGACAACATATCTGTGTGTCTCCCCAGATGTGTCTGATGCATCTCAAGTTTGGCTTCTGCTATGAAATCGAGGCAGTTCCCAACAAAGATCCAATTTTCAAATGTACTGGGTTGCCCTCTGGCCTCCTCCAACTCTGCATAGCAATGGTGACCTCGCAGATATAATCAAGAACCCAGTCTCGCCCTCTTCGCTCTCGCCTTGGGTTTGAATTGCAAATAGAAAGCGTGGGGCCGACCTGTGGAGAGGTCGTCATGGTGTGTGGAGGGTCCATCTCTAATATGACTGACTGGGCCCCTTCCCCATCCCTTGTTCATTTGTGCTGCAGATTTTCAAAGCTTCAGAAATAGGAGCTTTCAGGATATCTGTATGACCACTGGCAAATAGTCATTAATAGATCCTGTACTGTGGCTTTCTTCCATACCTGCTCTGCTTCAGCCCCACAACAAAAAAAGGATGGATAACATCTCTCTCTGCATAAATGGAGCAAGGTGGTCAAGTTCTTCTGTAGCTTGGCCTCCTTTGAAGTCTGACTTGCTCAAAATTAAGAAGAAATGGCAGAGACGCTGGCCAGCCATGGCTTGCTGAGGGGGTGCAGTGCTTTCCTCTTAAGCATTGCCCTGCCAGACCTGGCCCACAGAAGGCTGCCTGCAAACTACATCCACCACACCACCATTCTCATGCCCACCCTTTCTTTTTCTTTCTAGAGAGAGACTTTTGGTATAGGGCATGTGTGCTTGCCAGAGAGACAGAGAGACAGAAAGTAAGAACTCACCCTTCGGGGGGATGGGCACACATACACACATGCTTGGCATGAGTTTTAAGCTGCCAGGATCGGGACTCGAACCATGGTCGACTACATGGGAGTCTAGCGACATAACCATTACACTGTCTGCTGGTCCTGAGGATGCCCTGTCTTAAAAGTGATGGCCACACTCACTTTTCCCCTTACCTGCAGCAAACATTGAGATACTCACATAAAGGTGTCTTTTTTTTGCCTGTTGTAGAGCCCCTGAAAATTTATCTTAAATAGGCCCATTTCTCTGTTCTCTGTAAAGTTTCTATAGCTTTGACTCTGTGACTGAAAGGATCCAGGATCCAGTTCACAGTTGGGTTAACAGAGGCTTGAGTCTCTAGCTGAACATTTCCTGTTGAAAGGATTGAGTAAGCACAGGCGGGGCGGGAAGATTGAGGTAGACTCTCCTAGACCAGACATTTTCACACCTTCTCACACAACTGTCAGCTCCCTGTCTCCAGACCCTGCAGCTGTAACCACAGAAATTCCAACTTGGGCTACTATTTTGATATCAATATTCATATTTTGATTTGCATTTGCTGCGGTGTGAGGTAGACTGGAAAAGGAGGACACTGCATGAATCTGCAACATGGGAACAGGTCGTTCTCCCAGCAGCTATCTGAGTCAGAGATGGGAAGGCCTCTGCCTCCCACCGGTGGGGGCCTTTAAACTCTTCCAGTGGCCACATGGGATTTTTTTGTGTAGGATTGTAACTGTGTGATCTTGGATAGGTTACTAGACCTCTCTGAGGTCCTAGATTTCCTATCCATTAACCAGGAGAAAAACAGGTTTTTACTAGATTATTATAAGGATTAGAGGAGCTGATCTGTTTAAACAGCAACTCTGGTAGCCATCTTGTGTGTTCTGTCCATTTTCTCATAGCCACATCTGGAACAGCCAGTCTGCCCAAACACCCACACGTGCAGACCCCAACAACAGCTGGCAGGAGGCCACTCCCCATAGGTCATCTCCAGAACAATCTTTGTGGAACCCCACTCAGTTCTCTTAGGGAAACCTGTCAGACCCTTCAGACCTTTTATCCGCTTGTCCCTGGGTGGCAGTGGAATGCCCCAGTGGTCGATCCACCCACCATTCTTAAACAGGCCCCATTCTCCACCTCCCCTGGGCCAGAAAGGCTCTACTCTCTCACCTCTGCCCATCAGATCTTGTCTTCAGCTCCTTTTGGGTCCAGCTGCCACCCCAGCTTCTCCCAAAAGGCCACTCACAGCCTTCTTTGTCCTCTGGTTTCGCAAGACCCTGAGTTCCTGCCTGTGTGGCTTCTGATGGAAGCTCACTTCCGACCTGTCCTACCAGGTGCCTGCCTTCTCCATGGACAAGATGGCGCTGAGTCTCATCCATGATCTTTTCAATAATGTGTATTTATACCATCAGTGAGAGAGACAGTCCCAATGCCACGGTCACCCCTGGCCTCAGCAAGCTCAGACCGTGAGCTTTCACACGTGTATGTACTGGGGGAGGCTTCTGGTCATGTACCTTCCTGTGTGGGTGTGACTGCTGCACTACCATTGAGCCCGGGGCTGGTGAACACTCGGGAGGTGACAGGAATAGAACTCTTTTCTGACTCTACCTCGAGACATGGGAACTAGGACCTCAGCACTCTGAGCTCAGGGCTCCTGGGGAGAGATTTGCCAACACGGTGGCCTCTGACCGGCAGCTGTATCAAGAGGCTCTCTCCTGTGTGACCCCTCACAAAAGAACAAGTTTACCTCTCCTGTTAGTTTCTTGGTTTTGCTTGCTTTCTTTTTTTGGGGGGAGAGGATTTTTTGCTGTAGGGCGCGTGCACTCGCCAGAAAGACAGAAAGAGACAGAGAGACAGAAAGCGAGAAATCACCCCCCAGGGGGGATGGCCACGCCGCAATCCCTTCTCCTCCATTCTCCTCTCCGGATCTTGGGCACGCACGCACACGCGCCCGGCGTGATTCAAGCCATCAGGTCCAGGACGCGAACCGCGGTTAACCACATGGCAGAGACATAGCCATTACACTAACTGCTGGTCCCTTGGTTTTGCTTTCT